TTCGTATCAACCTGTAAAAAAAGTCTACAGGAATGCAGAAATGTCCTTCAGATGAGGCTGTTTTAGAAGGGTCAAAGTGACTCCATATGAAAACCCCCATGCAAGAAAAACAGCTATGAATAGGACACTTGACAGACGGGTCCAGCGGACAACAGACCGTGTTTCTGCTGAGATATAATTGCTCTAATTGGGCTTGGGCTTGCTAAAATTGTGAAGTTAAAGAGGACTCTGCAATCAAGCTGCCATTCTGCACAAAAGAATAGTGTTGTGATAGAAACCACACAGCAGTTGGGGAAATAATCAGCAGCTTTGTGCTCATTGCCCCCAGCATCTCAGGCTGCCGCAAGGAGCAGTCGCACAGCAGAGCAGAGCACTCTGCCTGGCGGGCGCAGGGCTGAATTGCTTCAGCCTCTCCAAGAGGTGCCTGACTGAAGCTCATGTTTAGGATGAGCTGGGTCTGTTGTGGCAACACCAGCAAGGAGAAAAGCTGGGCAGAATGCTCCCTGTCCCTCCTGCTCCAAGCCTTGCAGCCCCGGTGTGCACCTTCCTCCTGGTGTCCCCAGGCAAGGCAACATTGTCCGCAAGGATCAAATTGGCCTAATTACATCCTCTCTAACAGAAATACTTTCCAACTCTGTGATGATGCCATGCAGCTCCTGTCCTCCACTCACATACCAGGTGCAGGTGACAGGATGTGCATCATCCCAATTCAAGTGATGAGGCAGGTATCCTCCTTTGTACCGGCATTGTGTGGCCCTTAGCATGCCAGAAGGGAACGCAGGGACTGTCTTAGCAAAACCCCAAGGGATGTATGAGGAGAAGGAAGCACTAAACACATCTCACACTCAGAAACTGCCTTCTACTGGCTTTGCTCTGCGCATCGTGAGCTCTGCTCCACACACTGGCATCCCATGTACTGGCAAGGTGGTGGGAAGAACTTGCCATGGTTGATTTTCTCCCTAAGAGTGTTTGTTTCCTGAAGAATAGGAGGGGATTGCTCAACATAAGCCCAACTAAAAAGAGAGGTTGTGCTTGTTTCTAGCCAAGTTACCTATAAACCAAGTATTATAATAAGCATAATCAATGAACCCTTAAGAATTGCCAATGCAGCTAAAACATTGTGAACAATTAAGCAAAACGTCCCAAATGTTGAAAAGAAGAGAAGCAGGATTAAGCCAAGCCCTGTCCTCTGCTCCTTCCAGTGAGAGGAGGTACTGCTAAGAATTTCAGGCTTCAGACAAATTCAAAACAGCATTCAGCCCAAACTACAAGCTTCTTGGCTTTTCTGGGTGTAAATCAAATCCTTACGTTATCTCAGTGTCATTCTGTGGCTGCAAGCAATTCATCAGCTCCCAGCACAGCCAGACTGAAATTCAGTTAACAGGCTCTGAGCACTTCAGCTCTCCGTGATTGAATGTTTCTGTGGAAATGAATCTCACACACGAAAAAAATCCCAAAGATCGGCAGAAAGTCAGCAGTGCGTTGGGACCGCAGAATGCAGGACTTGAGAACTTGGAGCCCACCTCTGGGATTCCAGTGTTTGGTGAAGCTGTAAAAAGGGCAGTGCTCCTTCACAGTGCTCCCTCTGGGAAATATCGCATTCAGCAATTCCTGAATTACAGTTTCTAATTATATTTTCATACTGTAATGCTGTCTGAAATGCAAATCTGATGACAGAATAATTCGATCCATGTAAAATAATTACAAAATTACTGTTTCTCAAACCTCAACTTATACTCCCTGCCGTTTAAGAAGATAAATTTAACAGCAGCAAAAGTACAGCCAAAACATATTAAATTTTTCAAACTGTTATCTGACTCTAACTGTCTGCGTAGACTTTGGCTCACCATGGAAGATTGCTTCTAAAATATGGCTACCAACAACATTCCGGAGTGAGGATTTCTGTGCTTGGAACCAACAATGAGGTCAACTTTTATTTTGCATTTGGAGTACCACACGCATGGCATCTGGCTTTAATTGGAAAAGCAACTGTTGATTAAAATGTCAACTCCCTACTGCTGCTCAGTTATCATTTAAACCAGTTGTTGTTAAAGTTGATGCGGGACATTAAATTAGCAGAACGTGATGATTTTTAGCAGCGTGGAAACCAGCTTCTGCAAGATGTAACTTAAGAGTCTGAAACCCAATACAGCTGCGGCAGTTCCCACTGTTTGACAGTTCCCCCATAGGGGGAATTCAATTCCCCAAGGAAATGCTGCCTTGAGTAGCAGCTGGGACCTTTAAGGTGACAGCAGAAATCACCTTCTGTATGAGAAACAGAGGAAGGAGTCAGTGCTCTGCACTGCAGGGATTATTTTTTGTAGGTTTTCTTATGCTTCTAGCCTAAATTTAGATTGTCATTGACCATCAGCTCAACCAGATCAAGGTAGAGCACACTAAAGGCTCGAGTGCATTATTATTACTAGGCTGGAGGCATCAACAGCTTGAGTCTGTTTTTAATTCCCCTGACTGCATTCAGTTGTGAGAGAAGTGACTCAGGGAGAGCTTAGCCTTGCTTTCAGCCAGTCTCACCTAGGTGAAGGCTCCAGCTCCTGACTAATTAGTGGGCTGCTCACCCCTTCTTGTGGATGAAGGGACTGTGGAGGAGATGCTGTCCTCCACCTCTACATGCAAGGGAGTGACACCTGCAAGAGCCAAGGCTGACAGGAGCTATGGAGTCTACTGGGTGTCCTCAGAAACAGGTGAGATGCCACCAATCCCATGCACATGCCATTTATTTTTTATTTGTGTTAGAGGATTTCAAGCCCAAGGAAGCTGGTGATCCTAGGGCCATGGCACTTGGCAGAAGAAAAGGGGTGGGCTGCAGCCCCCTTCTTGCTCCTCAGTGATGGGAAGGAGGCAGGGACCCAAAGGCTGCTTGGTCTTTTCTCACAGTGGGTGAAGGGCTGAAGGGATGCTCAGTGTTCTGCTTGCTGGGAATTTCATACCCTTCTGAGATAAAACCCAAGCCTTTGATGAAAGGGTTTGTACAGAGGTGACCAACAAAACAAGAGCACAAAATTATCAGGAAGAAATACATGGACCAGGGAGCGCTCTCACACAGATCCCTTCCCCTCCTCTGAGCAGAGATCCATGCCCTCTGCATGCACTGCAGGATCCCATGCCACAAGCTTTCTCCTTGCTGTCCCTGCCATGCCTGCCCTGAGGCTCAAAGAGAGTGGCAGGATGTCCAGAGCCCACAGGACCCAATGAGAGGGAACAGAGCTGCTTACTCTGCCAGGCAGGATGCATCCCTCTGGTGACATGGGTGGCAGTTCATCATCCTTGGGGAAACTAAAGAAAGATATGCCTGTTAAGCTGGAGATGATGAACAAATTTTTAAAATATTTCTAATGAATATCACTTGAGCGAATGCTGCCTCCATTATTTTTCATTTTTTTGCAGACGTTTTTGAAGTGTCTGCAAGCAGGTGGGGGCACGGAGCATCCCTGTGGTGACCCAGGGCAGCCCAGAGGGCAGGGGCTGTCCCGTCGTGGTGGAGCTGTGCGGCTGCTGTCACTCCTTGTTAAACCCACTGCGAGGAAGGAGGGGGGACTTTGCATGCACTGATGCATGAGAAAAATTTATTAAACACAGTTTAAAATATTTCAGTCGCCAAAACATTGATAATTCGGACACACGAGCTATCTTGTAAGGAACAAATAGTGCCAAGCAAAATGGCTTAGAGGCTTCAGCTGCAATTATCCCTGTTGGTCCGTTAAGCGTGCCAAATGCAGTGAGAACCAGAGCACTAAGCCACAACTTTCCTTACAGAGGAGCTTTCAGTGTTAATCTCTGCCTTGGCTCCCTTTCTGAGACAATTACTTCTGCTGCAGTTAGTAATATTAGGGTATTTTTTAAGCCGTTTTTTCTTATCTTTTATTGTGCCGTGCTTTAAATATTTGTGCAGTTCTGTGGTCATTTCAGAGCGGCAGCCGCTTTAGCAAATCATTACCATTATCAATAAACTCTTTGAACTTTGGGAGGAAGGGAGCTGGAGTATTTAATTAGGGAAGATAAGAGCGGTCTAACATACTTTTCCAGGAAATAACGCACACGATGTTTCAGCTGTGATCTGTCCTCAAGGCGAATATGTGTGCTTGCACACAAACTCCGGCCGTGGCACCAAACTTCAGCAGCCCTGGAATCTCCTTCTGCAAACAGCCTCCTCCAAGCCAGCAGCGTAACACGGACACACAGCAAGATCTCTTCTTTTTAAAAAACGCCCAAATAGCATTTATTTTCCTATTACCACGGTGCTGTTCGAGCCGCTATTCTTTTTATAGCTGTCCCAACCACCCGTAACCCACCACGGAATAATTATAAAAATAAAAATCCTTGCATGTGACAAAAAGCCTGTGTTACAAACACGTTGCTTTCTTGGCACATTTTTCAGACACACTCTCAGGAAGCTATCGGTCTTTCCCTCTGTAAACATCATTGAGCCAAGGACAGGGACCAGGAGCAGTGTCCAGAGCCTTGTGGACAGAGCCGGCTCACCGCTCCAGCTCAGGGACCCGGCAGCGAGCTGCTCCCCATGCATCCACTGCTGGCCTCCCACTCCCTGCAAGCTGGGGACCAAACCGCTGGATGGTCAGTGTTAACAAATGCACAAGTTCTAACAGAAGTGTAAAGCTGTGATGCCCAGATCAACGACATAGCTAAGCATGATTTCTTTTAACTCCCAAACGGATTCACCTAGAATCACTCACATTTATTTATATTCTGAAAGTGTCAAATGAGAACAATATCGTTTTATTCCGCTTTCACAGATCATTAATCTAAATCTAACTCTGCTTAGCAGTCTGCACACAGAATTAGTGACTAGAAGCTGCTTTGCATCTATCTGATAGCACCGGGCTCGTTCATCACCACAAACTTCAGCCAAAACAAACAAGTGAAAAAACACCCTCACAATAAGCTGCTTTGCATCTTTCTTTTTTTTTTCTTTTACTTTTTTGCTTAAAAATACCTGACAAGAATATAAAGCAAACAGTTACCTCACACTGCAGAAATGCAAGTTTTTAATAGTCCATGCTCTGGCAGCCCCTGAGAAACAGCAGCAGCGGCAGTGGCGGCGGCGGGGATAAATCCAGCATCCACTGGGTTCTCACACAGCTTTGGCTGCGCGGCTGAAACCACAGGCTCTGCCTCCAGCTGACGTCAAAGCGCTGTCACATGGCCAGATAAAAGCCAAGAGAGCACTGGTTGTCGTGGCAACCGTAGCACTGCTCTGAAATTATTTCAATAGGTCATCTGTCACACGGGGGGCATGTCTGAAGCATCGTGGGCGCCCCAGCAGCCCAACGACCCCCAGTCCAAGTGGGGCTCATCCCTCGAGAAAGCACATCTCTTCCTCTTCCTCCCACATCCCCACATGCAGCAGAATAAGCCCTTTTCTGTTCAAGCAAAGGGGCGTACAGGCTGGAATCCCCGCACGGGGCACCTCTGTTTGTGTGGCCATTGGGAAGTCCTGGAATGGGGATGAAGCACAGCCCACCTCTGCCCGCCCCCAGCCCAGCTCCTAGCTTTTAGCTTGCCCCAAACCACCATGAAATACTTTTGGAAAATTGGAGTAGACAGAAGGATGCACAGACAGAGGGAAATGTGGTGTTCATCTTTCTGTCATACCATAGAGAAAAGCAGTGATAAGGGCTCATGGAATTATTGCAACAGAGAAAGGCGGAGCCAACTGTCTAAAATATGTGCCTTAAAAAGAAAATATGCTACATTAATTGGAATACCACTGGCAGTCTAGAAGAACAAGAATAATACAATGAATTTTTTAAATCCCAGCATATACTACATGTATTACATATAATAATTAAGCCGACATGGAAGGCATGTCAACTCACACAAGTTAAGCTGTACCGTAATACACTTTCTTCACTTAATGCAGCTCTTGTACAACACTTGCACACATTTGACAATGATGTTTGTACAACACAACAGAAAGTTTGGGATCTTAGGTTAAAAAGAGATCGCCTAGTCTCTATCAGAATCATAGCATCATAAAATGATTTAGGTTGGAAGGGACCTGAAAGACCATTGAGCTCCAACTTCCCTGCCACGTGCCACCCACCAGGCAGAGCTTCCCAGGGCCCCAATCCATCCTTGCCTCGAACGTTCCCAGGGATTGTGAATCCACAATGTTATGTAGTGCATTGCGACCTAACTGCAATTCTGTCAAAAATGTGTGCACGTGGGGGAGAATTTAAATGTTTTGGCTCTTAAACTCTATTTCACAAAGCTAAATGATATAACGTGCATTTTAACAGCATAAAACATTTCAATGGCGTTTTACTCATGCTAGGGGGAAGCTTGGCAGGGATGCCACTCGGACATACCAAGATGAAAGCAACAGCACTCATTCCTCACAGGCCCAAAAATCCAGCTGAAAGTGGCAGAAAAGTGGTATTTGCTGACTTAGCTTCATTTTTCCACACTAAACCCCCAATGCCAGATCTGTCTCTTTGGAGGTGTCAATCAGCCAAGTGAGCAGAAAGTGATGAGACATGGGCACTGGCTGGAAAAACGCATAAAAAAGATATTCAGGGACTGAAGACTGCTGAGGAACAAATGTGCTTTGTCCACGTGGGACCACGTTCCTCATCTCGCTGCAGGAAATGGACTTTCACACAATAGATGGGCTGCTGGAGCTTCTCTGCATTATGTGCTGTGTCTCACAACATACACATAGCTGTCTATAACTCCTGAAAATGTACATAGCCACCTATAACTAGTGGGAGCACCCTAACAGACAGACATCTGGATATATGACATAGCTTACACACAGTCACAGTATCACTAAGTGAGACCAGATCCTGCTTTTCCTCCCACTCTTGTTTTGGATCTGCAGAGCTAACAATAGATAACATTTGTTTGCCCATAAACCAGAAGACACACAGAGAGCAGAAATACTATCTGACATGGTCTTTGAACCCACAGAAGATCTCCCCCGGTGTCAGCCAGTGAGGCAGCCTTGCTCTCAGAAGGGAGCCCCATCGTTTCAGCAGCTGGGAATTCACTTGATGTTTCTCTTACAATAACAATACTTGGAAAAGTGCTTTATCTTGGAGTCTTCCCTCAAATATCCATGACTTCTAATGCTTTTAAAAAGAAAATTAAAAAACAAAACAAAAACAAACAAACAAACAAAAAATACCCCAACCCAGCGAGCAGACATGATTTTAATATACTACTTTAAAAAAACCTCTGTATTTTGCTGGTAACTGCAGCTTGCTGCTTGAATGGGGGTAATTCCCATTCAACCAACAATGGTTTCCATTGGCATCAGAAGAACAGATAAAAAAGAGACAGCAAAATGTTGTCATATTGACTTTTGCTCTTGCAGAAAAATGGGGTGGGAAAAAAAAAAAACCCACAGGAAAAGACATTTTAGTTTTCATACAGCTGACATGGCATTGCAGGCAAAGGGGGGTTTGAAAGAAAAGCAGTCAGCACAAGTGGCTCAGCCCACCCCATTCATTGAAGGTGGCCCAGTGAAAGAATTATTGTTCGAGTCAAATCAGGTGGAAGATGGTTTCCCAGGAATGCAGCACTGTAAGAAAATCCTATGCTCTCCATATATGTACCAGGACTCTTATTTGCATTAATTCCTGCTCCCAGAGACTGTAAGCAGTTTCTCATCCAGGAGCAATAATTTTGGGTTCCCATGCAACAACCTGGAGCAGATCTGGAGGTGTACGGATGGGCAGCAATCATTCCTCCCTCTGCAAACACCTTGGGTGTGTGCTGCACATGGAAGGCTCTTGCACCATGAATAATAGTAGCAAGTGTGCTGGATGAGAAGCATCCACACAGGGATTCCAGCTCATGGGCACTGAAGCACCAGGAGGCAAGTTCAAACACATGAGAGCAGATGAAAAGTGAAATAAATACGTATTACTGAAAAAAAAAAAAAAAGCCTATCAACCAGTAATTGCAATCAGCACCTTCTAAGGGGCCATCCAGAAGGCTGGCTGCTGCTGAACAAGAATGCTTTCCATTAACTGATGTGTTTCAGTCGTGTGCACTTGTTTTCTTTCTTGTGTGAGGGCCACACTGACAGAAAGCAGGGAAAAGCCATTTGGATCAGAGAAGAGTGGATTACTTGGCAACATGTGGGGGGAAAATCACTTTGGATCAAATAAAGCACTTTGAGCAAGGTTATTTAGAGACAAAGGTCTTCATCTGAAGTGGGATTCAGCAAAGGGTTGTGTGGGCAGGGGAGGCCATCATTGCACGCAATGCAGACAGTGTGAGCTCCTGAGAAGCATGCTCCCTCTGATCTCAGGCCCGACACAGCTCACCCATCTCCCATTTAACTATACCAGGCTCACTTCGCCTCAATTTGCTGATTGGTTCAAATGCCCCATATTCTCAAATGGAGAATAACTGATATGCTTTTTTTTTTTTTTTTCCTTTTTTTTTTTTTAATTTTTTAATTCTTTCCCTACAGCTGAAAGTAATATTTCATGCAGTGAGTTATCCCTGAGCCCTCTTGCCAGGACCTTTGCGGTCTCTCAACAATATTTGCTGATTGTCTAGCCCTTCAGTGTCTCTTCCTTGCTGTGTGGAAGTGACATCTGAGCAGCAGAGACATTAAGATCCTGACCCAAAGTCATCTAAGCACATGGATAACCATAGGCCGACCGGAGCGTTACACGTGTGCTTAAGTATTTGCTGGAGGAGAGCCCAACTGCCTGACAGCCTTGTGGAAATCAACGGTGCACACAGCGATAGTGAGTGCAGAAAAACAAAGATACAGGGTAGAAATATCCTTTTGCTCCCAAATAAATCTTTCTTCAGCAGGGAGAAAATAACAGAAATCTGTAACAGGAATTCAGTCATCTGTATTTTTTGTCCCACCTATATTGAAAAGGAACATTTCCAGCTTTAAATAAAATCTTTGCAACATTTGTCTCAGTTGGCAAATGTTGTATGTTTTTTATTTTTTCTTATTTTTCTTTGCCAGTACTTCCACTCCCTCATTTTCCTCCACTTTTTCTTCCCCCTATCCTTGATCCACTGCCATCCACTGCTGTATAACTTACTAAGTAGTTGCTGGTATTAATTGTCATTAACTAACCACCAACCTGCACCTTTGCATGGAAACACTACTATACAACCTTGCTAAATTTACCAACATATAAATGGCCTGATTCTTAAGATTAATTTCAGAGCACTTTTGATATAGCATCTCAGTGCCCACGTTCAGGAATTCTGGTGTCACCTTAACCCTTCTGAAGACACCAGTACCCTGTCACAACACATCCCATTGCCCTGAGGATTTTATAGGCAGATGAGCAGTGGGGAAACCTGTTTTCTCTTGTACAGGATGATAGTATCTTTGCAGATCAACCCCAGGAGCTCAGTTGGTGCCTGTCTGAGCATCCCTGCATGCCAAACCTGGGAAGAGCCCAGCTTTGGTGGCTCTTCCAGCACCACACACACTAGTTGTTCTGTTTGTGTTAGGCACCCATCAGATAACAGGGCCACGATAAATGTGAAAACAGAGAAAATAGAGGGATCTCAAGGAAGCAGCGTTATCCGGACATAAGTGAAAATCTCATCTGGATCAAATATGGATGTAGGGAACAGTTGCCTCTACTTGGTTTCCCTGCCAGTCTTGATCAGGACATCTCTGCATCCATCCCATCCAGATTGCTCAGTGCCTCCTCTGGAAGCTGGTCCAGGCTCCTTGCTTCTGGAAAGGTGTTTTCTAAATGGCCAGGCTTTGTCATGCCCTTGACTTCTTAATAGTGGACAGATAGATCTTCAAGCATATTGAAAAAATGAGGACAGAATCCGTGGGGTTTCACTCTCAGGAAGGGGAACACTCTGCTCCTTCATGCACTGTTGTTACACAGCTTTTCTGGCAGCCTCTTCAGTAACTTTGTCCTCCACAGATAATGGAGAAAGGTTTCCTATTGTCTGTCACTGCAAAGAGATAGTAATGAAAGCATTTTTGGCATCAGTTTTCTGGCTTGCATGAGTTGTCTTTGCCTTTTCCTTGATAGTACACACTCTTCCCCTTTCTCCATTTGATACCCACATGGTAAGTGGTGATAAATTTGTGATAAATGTCCTCAAGACAGTTGAAGGAGACAGAACGGGTATCATTCT